TACTTTACATTTTGTATGGAATCTTATAGCTCTGTCACTTCCTAGTATACATTTGGCTCTAAGTCTTACAATTAAGTCTGACAGTGATTTAAGCCAAATTAATTCTTTCACATCAGAAGAACTCTGGAGGTGTAGTGCTTTCACCAGATTAATATTATTAAAGGCCTTTTTCTCTCTGAGGCTTCTTCAGAATATTGGCCTTTCGGGGCTCGGAAGGTGGCTCAGTGGTAGAGTGCTTGCCTTGTATGCCTGAGGCCCTGGGTTCGATTCTCCAGCACCATATAAGCAAAAAGTAAAAAAGCCGGAAGTGGCGCTGTGGCTCAAGTGTTAGAGCGCTAGCCTTGAGCTGAAGAGCTGAGGGACAGCGCCCAGGCCCAGAGTTCAGGCCCCATGACCGGACCCCCCTCCCCCCAAAAAAAGAATATTGGCTTTACATTCTTAGACTGTGCTCTCACCACTGTGAAATAGTTGCTTCATTTTTAGTCATCAAAGCTATTCATAATGAAGATAAGTGGTAAGGACAGGGAAGGGAAATGGTTCTTATATAGCAAAACAAACAATTTCCCAGTAACCTCTCCAGAGGTTCTTTCCCTCCATCTTCATATGCTAAAACAGAGTCACCTGAGTATCTGTTTCTATAAGGTAGAAAGTTACTTTTATTTTTTTACCATCTATTTTTGGAAGTGAGAAAGAGAAAAGAAGGTTGGAACCAACAAACTTTGCAGCATGAGTCACAGATGCAATACCTGTGAATTCTTAGCATTCATATTGTGTGTGTGTGTGTGTGTGTGTGTGTGTGTGTGTGTGTGTGTGTGTGTGTGTGTGTGTGTGTACAACTATGTGTGGTGCATGGTGCTGGGGATTAAATCCAGGAAACACAAGAAAGGGGCTGAGGACATCCCTCAAGTGGTAGAGCACCGGCCAAGTAAGCAAACCCATCAAGATTGAGATCCTAAGTTCAAACCTCAGTACTGTGAAGAAAAAGGAAAAAAAGAAGAATGATTCTAGGCATAACTACTCAGGAGGCTAAGATCTAAGGATTTTGGTTCAAAACCAGCCTGAGCAGGAAAGTCCTAGAGACTCCATCTCCAAAATAACTAGCAAAAAGCTAGGCTGAAGGTATAGCTTGCGTGATAGTGTGCCAGCCATGAGCAAGAAAACTGAGCAAGAATATGAAGCAAAACCTCAAACCTTGGGAACAGATTTAAAAAAATATGTAAATAACTGCCTGGGATTGTGGCTCAAGTGTCAGAGCTCCTGCGTAGTGAGTGAAAAGTACGAGGTCCAAACCTCCGTACTTTCAGAAAAAAGTGGCAGAAAAAAATGAACATCTTTCCTAAGATATAAATTTTAAGTGTCTAAGTTTTCTGTAAATTAATTTTCATGTTAACTTTTCAAACTTTACTTACTACTGTTGAAATTTCCCTGAATCTAGTTGGCTAGATTCAACAAGGCCCAGCATTTTTGTTTTCGCTTCCAGATAAATTTAGTGCATAGTTCAAGGCCCATTTGAGACTCAAATTCCACCTTAATCTGTCTCTGGCTTCTTTCATCTGATAGTACACTCCTTTCAATTCCTGTAGCCTTAATGCTATATGCATGGGGCCTGCTGTTTGCAATGGCTGGTTGCCAAAAAATAAATCTTAAAAATGGAAGGTATGTTTTATTGCATGAATTATTGACTGTACCACTATCAGGCCCTGTGTTAGATACTGAGTGAGAAATAAGATAGAATGTGGCCCTGCTTTCATGGGACAAAGAAAAGCAATGTTAAACAACTGTTTTGGTGCTTGAACCCAGGGCCTTGGACTCTTGCCTGGCTTTCTTCCTCATCTCAGTGTTCTACCACTTGAACCTCCTGATCAGCATTTTTGCTAGTTATTTTGAAGATAGAATCTCATGTACTTTTCTGGCTGGCTTCCAACTGCAATCCTCTCCAGCTCAGCCTCAGCTACTAACACAGCCCACTAAAAACAGTGACTCTTGACTAGGGAATAAGAATCAGATAATTGATACATGTTCATGAAACAAATGTTATTACGGCAAATAGGGCCATAAAAGTGGAGAGAAAACTATAAAATTGTGTAATGAAATGTAGAAAATTAAGTTCTAAGTCATATCAAATGTTCATTGTATGTTTTATAAAATGTTGGAGAAATCTCTTTTGGAAGAGAAAAATCTTAGCAGCCAAGTTGCTTACTTAGAATAATAAGTTTTTGGGTTTTTTTGTTTTTTTGCTTCAGCTCTCAGTTCTCTCTAAAAGCTAGTACCTAATTCTTACCTTTGAGCAATTTGGAAATGCTAACAGATACAATTCCAAACTTTCTCGCCCTCAGTCCTAACCACTGTCCTATGAAGCAGAAATGACACTTCTCACTTTAGAGCTGGCAAAGCCAGAGCCTCCAGACAAATAGAAGGACTAGTCAATGATCACGTGGTACACATGGCAAAGCTGGAATGTGAACCCACCAAGCCTCTCCTGTCAGATATCCTGCTCTGTGCTTTATGTTGCTTTTTCTCACCTTTACTCACAGAATTCCAAATGTTTATATCAGCTTTCTTTGTCATTGTTGTTGTTAGTGTTCTGTGATTTTTTTTCAGTTTCTTTTGTATGTTCTTCCCCCTATGGTATATCCCCTGTTGTCACTGTATTTGATTTTGGTACCCTGCATCTTGTATATAATATACATTTATCTAATTCAGGGAGGGGAAGGGGAATAACAAAATGCTGAAACAAGGGCCCAGGATGAGCCATTGCAACAATGATACTCACAAGACAGTATGTTGGAAATGAACTCTACAACTTTGGGGGATGGGAGGGGGATGAGTGGGAGATGTGGGGGAGGAAGGAGAACAACACAGGAGGGAGTAACAATGGACAAGAAATATACTCATTACCTTACTCATGTAACTGTAACCCCTCTGTATAGCATCTTTACAATAAAATAGAAATTAAAAAAAAGAATGATGTGGACGAGGAAAGATCACGGTGACTGTATCGATTGTTGAAAAGTAGGCCAGTCTAGTTACTCAATAAATACTTCAATGAATGCTTACTGTGTACCAAAACCTTTTGCCCTTATTCTCAGGAAGTACAAAGTCTCATGGAAAATACAAGCCCATAAATAGATAATTGTGATGTAATATGCTAAGTAGAGTTGTAGCTGTCTGGGTTAAATTTTTATGCCATTACTGGACCTTGAACTCAGGGCCTCCATGCTCTCATTTGGCTTTTTTTTTTTTTTTTGCTCAGGACTGGCATTCTGCCATTTGAGCTGTGCCTCCAGTCATGACTTTTTGCAGATTAATTGGAGATAAAATTCTGGTGGGTTTTGTTTGCTTGGACTGGCTTTGACCCATGATCCTCAGATCTTAACTTCCTGAGTAGTTAGAATTAAAGGCATAAGCCAATCGTGCCCAGCTTCATCTTTTATTATTATTTTTAATATTATTGAATTGTATGTTCTACATCATGATAGTTCCAGGAGTCAATAGGCAAGTACATAAATTAAAAACAGGGTGACCTTTATGAACTTATTAGGAGACCTGTGCAGGGACAGAATGTTCTGGCTCTAAAAGCCAAGAGATTTCAAGGGGTGATGATATTTAGACAATTAAAAAAATTTATTTCTTACATTTTTCGAAGCTTGGATTATTTTAAGGAAATTATAAATACTAAGAAACTCTTGAGTTTTGAAATACCTTACCAAGAGCTATTCAAAAAGCCATATGGTTCACAGGATATTTTTGTTTCTGTGACTCTGCCAAAACCGTTTTCATCAGGATCATAGCCATCTCCATGTGGCCAAATTAGGGGTCAAGTCTCAAGTCTCATCTTTATTTGATTTATCATTAGCATTTGACCCAGTTAATCATGCCTGCCTTCTTCAGAAGCTTTTCTTTAGTTTCCATGACACTAAACCATCCTGGTTTTCTCCCTGTCTCACCAGCTACTTCTTTTTAGCCTTCTTTGCTAATTCTACACCATCTCGCTAAATGTTAACACTGAGCTATTTTAAGGCTGTGCCTTGGACTTCTTTTCTGCATGATCATTCAATCCAGTACCACAGCCTTAAATACCAGCCATCAAATGATGTCATACTTTTATATCCACCCTTGACCTTTTTCCTGAACTTCACACCCACATAGTCACCTGCTTACCACCGTTTCTACATGCCTGTTAGGGTATTATCCAAAACTCAGCATATGCAAAATAGAATTCTGGATTCCTGTGTCTGGCTCCTGCCTCTAAGGTTCTCTCTTACCTTTTCACATTACACTACACAAACCCCATCATTCTAGTGGCTCAGGAGAAAATATTCAAAGTCATTAACAACTTGCTTCTTTTTCCATTCCTCTCCCCGCCCCACCCCCATCTCTAATGTCTCAGTAGTTTTCCTGCTTGACCTTTTCCAGCAGCAGTGCATGAGTGCATGACATCCTTGTCACCTTTGGTGGCATCGTTTGTGCCTCTTCTGTCTGTCCACAGCATACCAAAAAAGGTGAGAGGCAAAGTTTTCCAATGAGGACAAGGTGGGCTCTGAGGAATTTACTGTTAAGTTTATTTTAATGAGGACAGGATTTTATTTCCTGTTTTAGTGGAAATAATGTTTAAGCTTCTGTGGAGAATCATGACATTTTTGCTCCAAAGTAGAGGAATTTTCTTTCTCTTTTTTTTTCTGTTTACATTCTTGGCAAATAAGCAGAGAAGACCAATTAGCAATGTTCACTTGCAGTAATTGTTATTTTGACATGTTTTAAATAGAATGGAACATTAGGTTTATTCTTACCACTTTTCAAAGTTTTTGCCTTAGTTAAAATGAAGTGAATTTAAAATGTGACATAGCTTACTAGATAAAGATTAATCATAATTCTTTGTCATTCCATATACATTTGGGGATGGAAAAAATGGATATGGGACACTATATTTACTTTTGAAAAGGATAAGAAAAATCAGAGAAAATGTAACTGGTGATTTTTGTGTCATCTCATATTCACAGATTGGCAAAGAGAAGTATCACAGATCCCAGCACTGGGGCTTCTGCAATAATGTTAGGATGCTAGTGAGCGAAGACAAACCTGGGATAGGTGGAGAACCGATGTTTGGTCGAAAGGTGAAGCCTAAATACAGTATCTATCCTAAAGGAGATGGAACTGATAAACCATCATGGGTAGCTTTTGATAAACAGGTAAGTCACATGACATTGGGAGAGATGCAGTTTTCAAGTTTTGCGTGTAGATTTGACGAGATAAGCATCTCAATATAAATCTTAAGACTAGTTCTGCTTTCTTTTTGGCCTGTATGCATAATTGTGGTTGCCTTTGGGGGGGGGCGGTCGTGGGGCCTGAACTCTGAGCCTGGGCGCTGTCCCTCAGCTCTTCAGCTCAAGGCTAGCGCTCTACCACTTGAGTCACAGCGCCACTTCCGGTTTTTTTTCTTTTTGCTTATGTGGTGCTGAGGAATCGAACTCAGGGCCTCATGCATGCAAGGCAAGCACTCTACTACTAAGCCACCTTCCCAGCCCACCTTTATTTATTTATTTTACTGATTCTTTTCATTTCTTTTAAATAGATAAAAATTGTATACAATTAACTCTCTGTATCTGCAGGCTCCATATCTGTGGATTTAACCATCTTACAGTTGAAAACGTGGTAAAAATTGTGTCCACACAGAACACATACAGACTACTTGTTTGTCATTTTCCCCTAAAGAGTATAACTTAACTGTTTACTTTGTATTAGTTTGTTCTAAGTCATCTAGAGATGATTTAAATTATAAAAGGATGTGTGTAGGTTCTATTTGTATAGATTTTGTTATATACAATGGTCCTGGAACCACTCCCCCACTAAGGATGAGTCTATATTTATGGTGTACAAGTTTTAAAATATGTATGCATTGTAGAATGGCAAAATCCAGCTAATTAACATATGTATTACCTTGCAAACTTACTTTTTATATGTGTGTATATGGTGAGAACACTTAACATCTACTCTCAGCAATTTTCAAATACATAATACATTGCTGTTAACTAGAGTTATCATGCTGTGCAATAGAACTCTTGAACTTATATCTCCTGTCTAACTTTAATTTTGTATTTTTAACTAAGACTACTATTTAGATAGCCTTTGGCAAAAATACTCTAAACTCATAAACAAAAATACCCCCAACAACATCAACAAACAAAATTCTCCTTGTTCTGCAGATTCTGATGAGGTACAGTCACTGCAAAGTGCTAAGTGTTTATATTTCCTGCTTAGTTCTTTTTTTAATTTTTTCAATTCTACTGCTCTTCCACTTGAGCCACATCTGTCTCCAATTCTGGACTTTTGCTAGTTCATTGGACACAAGAGTCTTGAGGATTTGTCTGACCTGAGTGGCTTCAAACTATGATCCTTAAATCTCAGTCTGATGAGCTAGGATTAGGAGCATTAGCCACTAGTACCTAGCTCCTGGCTAATTCTTATCAACCTTTCTCCCTGTCCTACTCTGGGCAGGATAATCTGCACTCATGTAGAAACTCATGAGTTTCTTATGAGCTCACACCATAACTTCTGTTGAATAACTCCCAGTCATTTTCATCCTAATTGTAGTATTAATTAGGAACAGAAAAAAATGTTTTCTCTTCTTTTCTCCTTGATAACTGTGGTTCCCCATCCCCTAAGGACTAAAGGATGAGATGATAAGAATAGTGAAAGTGAAGGGAAGGGGTGTCATACACAAACACAAACAAAGACATACAAAATACACACTAGTCTACTCACACAAAGATGGATAAACACACATTGACATATCAGCAGTTGAAAAAGTGAGTGCATTTCAGTATCTTTTCTCTCTTTTTGGTGGCATTGGGGATCAAACCTGGGGCATCAAGCATGCTAGACAAGCGCTGTACCATTGAATTATGCCCCCCAGACTTTGAGTATCCTCAGAAAGGACTAAGATCAAGAGAAAAGAAACCCCAAATGATCAGTTATTTCTTGTAAGGCAGAGTTACAAGGATAAAACTGTGTGTGTCAGACAGCCCTGTTCTTTAGCCCCACATTCACAGTCCTATGTTCCACTCTCCAAAAACCTGTTATCAGATTATTTTAGACTCTGTAATTAAAAATTAATTCAGGTTCTGGATAAAGAATTGAAATCATAGCATGCCAGGTTTATCAGGTGATTCATTGGTAGCCTGTAACATGGATAGCCTCACAATACTTGGATTCTAATTTAAATGTCCTCAACTCTGTCCATATCATCCATGGTAGGATATATCAATTAAAGCACTTTTTAATATATATTTTTATTGTAAGGATACTGTACAGAGGGTTTACAGTTACATAAGCAAGGTAATGAGTACATTTTCTAGGGAGCATTGTTATCCCTCCTTTGTTTTTCCCTTACCATCCCTTTCCACCCCACCTCCCCAACTCCTCCTTCCCCCTCCCCCTAAAATTGTAAAGTTCGTTTTCAACATAGTGTCTTGTACATCTCATTGTTACAATGGGTCAACCTGTATTCTTGTTTCAGCATTTTGTTATTTCCCTTCCCCTCCCCAAATTAGAAAAATGTATATACAAGATTCAGAGCACCAGAATCAAATACAGTGACAATAGGGGTTATACCATGGGGGAAGAACCTACAAAAGAAACAAAAAAATGACAAACTACATTATAAGTACTTTAAAAACAACAGCAAGAAAGAGAAAAACCTCGTGTCCTATCTTGGTGTTCATTTCGCTTAGCATCATCTAATACGATCATGTATGCATAGCTTTTGACCATCTCTGCTTGCACTAGACACATACTAGTTATTGCAAATAAGTGAAACCACAGGACCTATGTTTTTTTTTTTTGGCCTGACTTACTACACTTAATATAGTTTTTTCAAAGTCTTTCCATTTCCTAACAAATGGGCTGGTGTCATTCTTTCTGTTGGAGGCATAGAATATATATACATATATACATATATATAATATATATTTCACATTTTCTCGATCCATTCATCTACTGAAGGGCATCTGGGTTGGTTCCATATCTTAGCTATGGTAAATAATACTGTGATAAACATAATTGTGCTGGTAGCTTTAGCATGCGCTCATTTGTGATCATTTGGGTAAATGCTCAAAAGTGGGATTGCTGGGTCATAGGGGAGCTCTATGTGGAGTCTCTTGAGGAACCTCCATAATACTTTACAAAGTGGTTGAACAAGTTTACACTCCCACCAACAATGCAGTAGGGTTCCCTTCTGTCCACATCCCCTCCAGCATCTGTTGTTATTAGAGTTCTTGATTCTAGCCATTCTAACTTGGGTGAGGTAGAATCTCAATATGGTTTTGATTTCCATTTCTTTCATGAGTGTCTATTGGCCACTCTTTTTTGCTCTCCAGAGAAATCTTTCTTTAAGTCTTTAGCCCAATTATCAATCAGGTGGCTGTTTCTTTGAGGATTTGTTTTTGGGGGATTTAATTTTCTGAGTTCTAAGTGTATTTTAGATATGAGACCCTTGTTGGTTGTATGGCTAATGAAGATCTTCTCCCAGTCCATGGGCTTTCTATTGATCTTGCTAGCTATGTCCTTTGCCATGCAGAAGCTCTGCAGCGTCATGCAATCTCATTTGTCCAACCTTTCTTTGATTTGTGTTTCTGGGTCTCTATTAAGAAAATTTAGGCCTGTACCAAGGAGACCTAGGGTTTCTCCTATTCCTTCCTGTAATGTTTTCAGGGTGTCTATTTTAACTTCGAGGTCTTTGATCCATTTGGAGTTGATTCTGGTGAGGGTGATATAAAAAGACATCTAGTTTTAGTTTTCTACAGGTGTTTAACCAATTTTGCCAGCACCATTTACTGAAGAGGCTGTCTTCCATTCTATTTTTTTTAGCTCCCTTATCGAAGATAAGGCTATAGGTCTGTGGGTTCATTTCTGGGTCTTCAGTTCTATTCCATTGGTCCTCAGGTTTTTTCTTCTGCCAGTACCAAGCTGTTTTGGCTTTGTATTAGAGTTTGAGATTTGGTATTGATATTCCTCCAGACTGTTCTTTCTACAAAGGATTGTGTTTGTTATTCGGGGTCTTTTATTGTTCCATATGAATTTTTGGGTTGCTTCTATTTCATTGAAGAAATGACTTTGGGATTTTGATAGGCATCACATTGAATTTGTCGATAGACTTTGGCAATATTGCCATTTTCACGACTATGTTAATCCTTCCAATCCAGGAGTATGGGAGGTTTTTCCACTTCTTTAGTTCTGCTTTAACTTCCTTTTTCAGGTTTTTAAAGTTTTCATCCTAGAGGTCCTTCACTTCTTTAATTAACTCCTAGGTATTTTATTTTTTGTAGGGATATTATAAAAGGAGTTGCTTTCATGATTTCAGCTGGGCTCTTCTCGTTATTGGTGTACAGAAAAGCCATTGATTTTTGAGGGTTAATTTTATACCCTGATAGTTTGCCAAAGTTTTGGATCAGCTCAAGTAACTTGAGAGTGGAGTCCATGGGGTTCTTTAAATATAAGATAATGTCATCTGCAAAGAGGGAGAGTTTTACTTCATCTTTCCCTATTTGGATCTCCTTTATGTTTGCATCTTGTCTTGTTGCTGTAGCTAGGCATTCTAATACTAAATTGAAGAGAAGTGGAGAGAGTGGACATCGTTGTCTCATTCCTGCATTTAGAGGAAATGGCTTTAGCTTTTCGCCATTAAGTATAATGCTGGCTGTAGGTTTGTCATAAACAGCTATTGAGGAATGTTCCATGGATTCCTAGTTTTTCCAGAGCTTTCATCATAAAGTGATGTTGGATCTTGTTAAATGCTAATTAAAGCACACTTTTTTAAACCCATCTCTACTACTTTTAAAGCTAACAGACCACAAGAAGTCTTCTTTTCCGGAAAACCATCTCTACTTTCAAAGTGGGTTAATATTCCTTGTCTTTTGTTGTTGTTGAGGGCACTGTCCCTGAGTTTTTTCATTCAAGGCTAGGGCTCTACCACTTTAAAAACCACAGGGCCACTTCTGGTTTTCTGGTGGTTAGTTGGAGATAACAGTCTCATGGACTTTCCTGTCCCAGCTGACTTTGAACCGCAATCCTCAGATTTCAGGCTCCTGAGTAGGTAGGATTACAGAAGTGAGTCATTGGCACCCAGCTTTATTTCTTGTTTTTTATTTTCAGTACCTGGCTCTGTGTTAGACCTAGAGCTCAAAAAAAATTT